AAGATTAGAGGGAGCCACAGTTAGTGTGTCCTATTAATCCTGTGGACTAATGTTCCCTTGAGTCTTCGATCTCTTCTATTCTTCTTTGTTCCATCCACACAGGAGGAAACCAATGGTTGCATCTTAGATGGATTCTCACGAGCTTTTAAGACCTCAGATGCTATGCACCAAACTAGGATTTAGAACATAGTCTTCATGAATTATGTTATGCCTGTTGACCTAGATGCCCCCAGAGCCTTCAAGCTCACAACTAGTAGCTCAGTCCCAGGCATGTTTAAATATGTGTAGGAAGTTTCCTTAACTATGCCTCCCATGTGCTTTATTATATATATGAATATATATGCAGCACATACAAATATGCATATGCAAATGCCCACAACTCTATCTATGTCTGCATATACATGTACTCACTCCCACATGCCCTCCCACACCTATATAACATACATATCTACCTATGTAACCACTCACATACTTTTGCCTGTTATTACTGTCATTGTAGAACTGTGTTTTTATAGCCTTTATCATTGTCCTTTATTCTTACATGCCTCTCCATGTCTTTGTTTAGCTCAGTCTGGTAGTGCTGCTGACATCCCCCATATTATGTATTTCCTTTCTCGTCTCCAGAATTAACATGTGCCTGGTAGCATAGTGGTTACAAATCAGGCTGTTTACCTCAAGGTCAAGAAAGATGAGGCTTTCTGCTCCCGTAAAGATTTGCAGCCTTGGAAATCTCGTGCAGGGTTACTATGAGCCAGAACCGACTTCACGGTACTTAACAACAACAGCTATCTAGTAAGGTGTTCTGGTGTGGCACTGTAGGATAAACACTCAACAGCAAGTTTGGTTTGAACCACTACGTCGGCAGTTTGAACTCACCAGCCGCTCCTTGGAAACACTATACAGGGCCACTATGAGTTGGAACCGACTCGATGGCACTTAACAACAACAGTTATCTAGTAAATGAGTCCCTCTCTCCTCCTTTCCTCCCTGGTAACCATCAAAGAACATCGCTTTCTATATGTAAACCTATTCTTGAATTTAAAATAAAGTGGTATCATATGTTTTTGTCTTTTTATGGTAGACTAGTTTCACTCAGTTTATTGTCTTCATATCTATCCATGGTATGTTTCACACACTCATCATTATTTTTATCAGTGAATAGTATTCCATTGTATGCACTATGTTTTGTTTATCCATGCATCAGCTGATGGACATTTCGGTTGTTTTCATCTTTTTGCTATTGCGACTAATGCTACAATGAACATGGGTGTACATATGTCTTTCAGTGTGCCTGCTCTTATTTCTCCAGGGTATTTATCTATGAGTGGGATTGCTGGATCATATGACATTTCTATTTCTAGAATTTTGAGGAAGTGCCCTACCATTTTTCACCAGTAGTGTACGAATTCCAATCTCCCCACAACCTCACCAGCATTTGTTGCATTCTGTTTTTTTATCACTGCCATTTTTTATAGGAGTTCAACGTTATCTCATTGTAGTTATGATTTACATCTAAGGAGTCCTGGTGTGGCGCTGTGGGCTAATGCGTCAGCAAAGTCGTTTGACCTGCAAGGTCGGTGGTTCAAGCTCACCAGCTGCTCCTTGGAAACCCTATACAGGGTCACTATGGATCAGAATTTATTCAACGGCACTCAACAAACAACAACAGATAATGAGGAGTCCTGGTGGGGCGCTGTGGGTTAATGTGCCAGACTGCAAAGCTGTTTGAACTACAATGTCGGTGGTTCAAGCTCACCAGCTGCTCCTCAGAAACCCCATACAGGGTTGCTATGCATCAGAATCGACTCAACAGTAGCTAACAACAACAATGGATAATGAAGATCAAAGACCTCGGCCTTCAGTGTGGATTGATTTTACCTCAATGGAAAGAAAAACCAATTCTCACAACTAGAGCAATAAAATCATGATAAATGGAGAAAATATTTCAGTTGTCAAAGGCTTCATTTTGCTTGAATCCACAATCAGAACTCATGGAAGCGGAAGTCAAGAAATCAAATAACGTATTGCATTAGGCAAATGTGCTGCACAAGATGTCTTTAGTGTGTTGAAGAGTAAACATGTCAGTTTGAGGATTAAGGTGAGCCTGACCCAAGCCATGGTATTCTCAATAGCCTCATATGCATGTGAAAGTTGGATAATGAATAAGAAAGATCATAGAAGAATTTATGCATTTATAATGCTAGAGAAGAATATTAAAAGTACCATGGACTGCCAGAAGAATAAAAAAAATCTGTGTTGGAAGAAGTGCATCAGCATTCTCCTTAGAAGCCAGGATAACCAGACTTAGTCTCTCATATTCGGACATATTGTCGGAAGAGCCCAGTCCCTGAAGGAGAACATCATGCTTAGTAAAATGGAGGGTCAGCAAAAAAGAGAAAGACCCCTGACAAGATGAATTGGCACAGTGGCAGCAGCGATGTGTTTAAGCTTAACAACAATTGTCAGGATGGTGCAGACTGAGGCAGTATTTTGTTCTGTTGTACATAGGGTAGCTATGAGTTGGAACTGATTCCATGGCACCTGACAAGAAAAACAATGGCTAGTGATTGGGAGCATGTTAGCTGCCTGAATGTCTTCTTTGGTGAAGTGTCTGTTCATGTACTTCGCTCATTTTTAAATTGTTTTGTCTTTTTGTTGGTGAAATGTTAATGTTTTCTGTATATTTTATATTAGAACTTGCCAAAAAAAAAAAAAAATCCCATTCTGTAGGTTTTCTTTTTACTCTTTTGGTAAAGTCTTTTGATGAGTATAAATTTTACTTTTTTAGGAGACCCAGTTACCTAATTTATCTTCGGTTTTTTGTGTGTGTGTTTCCATGGGATTTTCATAAAGGACAGGATACTTTTCTTAGTATAACATGCAAAGCCCCTTCACAATCTGACAACCTCAGCCACAGAAGCCATTCATCATTTCCAGAACTTAAACTGTTTTCCAGCTCGGAACCTGGGTGCACATAGGCACCTTTTGCCAGGAAAGCCCATCCGTCCATTGTTTATCTTGTAGATCACTCTTTTTTCATCCTTTGCCTCAGTGCACATTACCTTCTCTGTGATACCCTCTTCACACCTGTGCATAATAGGCATAGAGTCGCTTCTCTGCCTTCATTGCACATTGCACAACTGTTGGCTATGCTGATCACAGTTTACTGTGATTATTTGGTTACATATTTGTCTCCTCTTGTGAGCCATCAGGAGCAGGGTTAGGTCTGAAGCAGCTATTTCTCCATGTTCTCAAGTATAGTACCTTGTTGTTGTTAAGTGCTGTCGAGTCAGTTCCAACTCATAGTAACCCTGTCTAGGGTTTCCAAGGAGAGGTTGGTGAGTTTGAACCTCCAATCTTGTGTTTCGCAGTCCAGTGCTGATACAGCACCACAGCAGGATGCTACAGCACCACAATATTTGTTAAATGAAAGAACACATATTGCCTTGGAAAGAGGAGAAAAATATAAGTAACCTAGTGGTGGTGGTTGGTGGTTATATGCCATGAAATCGATTCTAACTCATAGCAACCCTGTATAGGACTTCTGAGACTGTAAATCTTTACAGGAGCAGAAAGCCTTATCTCTCTCCCGTAGAGCAGTTGACAGATTGAAACCGCTGACCTTGCAGTTAGCAGCCCAACTCACAACCCACTAGGCTGCCAAAGCTCCAGTAACCTTGTGGTGGTGGTGGTGGTTATTAGATGTGATAATAATAGTTATTATTATTTTGCTTGGCTTCTTAATCTATTTAATGTGAACAGAGCAGAGACTTAGTAGCCCAGAGTTTTAGGTTCTGGCAGTCCTTAATTTGTTATGCACTAACCACTAGGTTAAGGAGTCCTGGTTTGTTGTTGGTAGGTGCCATCGAATCGGTACTGACCCGTAGCGACCTTATGCACAGCAGAACGAAACACTGCCCAATCCTGGGCCAACCTCACTGTTGGTGCCATGCTTGAGCCCATCGATGCTGCCACTTTGCCAATCCATCTCACTGGGGGTCTTCCTCTTTTTCTCTGACCCTCCACCTTACCAAACATGCTATCCTTCTCCTGACAAAATATCCAAAGTATGAGAGACGAAGTTTGGTCATCCTGGCCTCCAAGGAGCACTCTGACTGCACTTCTTCCAACACAGATCTGTTGGTTCTTTTGGCAGCCCATGGCACTTTCAATATTCTCCAACTCCATAACCTTTTTAAAGTGTTGAAGAGCAAAGATGTTGGCTTGAGGACTAAGGTGCGCCTGACCTAAGCCATGATGTTTTCAATAACCTCTTATGTATGCGAAAGCTGGACAGTGAATAAGGAAGACCGTAGAAGAATTGATGTCTTTGAGTTATGGTGGTGGAGGAGTCCTGGTAGCGTAGTTGATCATGAACTGGAGTGGCCTTGTACAGTTTTGTTACGTGCTGTGGAGTTGATTCCTGCTTCTGGAGATCCTATATGGCAGAACAGAATGCCCAGTAAGGTTTTCTAGGCTGTAAGTCTTTACTGTGGCTCTGTATTGTTTACCTCAAAGTCATAGGTTCAAGCTCACAAGCCGCTCCTTGAAACTCCTATACAGGGTCGCTGTGAGTTAGAATTGACTCTATGGGCACTTAACAACAGTCTTTACTGGAGCCGATTACCACATCTTTTGGAGCTGCTGCTGGGTTTGGCCGCCAATCTTTGGGCTCGCAGCCCAGCATTTAACCACTGCCACCAGGGTTCCTTTGTACAGTCTTAGGCCAGTGAATTCGATGCCCACTCCAGCCCCTTGTCTCAGTTTCCCACGAGTGATATAGGCGTAGTGGAAACATCTTCCTGGGGCTGTGATTTAGTGAAGGACCCGCCACTGAGGTCTGGGGAGCTGAGGAGCTGAAGGCCGGGAGGCGTCCAGCAGGAAAGGAGCAGGCTTTGGGGGGCTAAGCAGGGCCGGCGGGCGGGGCGAGGCTAGGGGCGGAGCATGGCGGGAACCCCGGCACAGCTTGGGTTGGAAGTTCACAGTGAAGGCGAGCGAGCGCTGGCCATGGGCCCCGCAGCGCGGCTGGCGGCGCTGCTGCTATTCCTGTTGGCTCTCGGGCCCCAGACTCTGGTGGGGCCCGCGGCGCGAGGGGACACATTTTCGGCCCTGACCAGCGTGGCACGCGCCCTGGCGCCCGAGCGCCGGCTGCTGGCCCTGCTGCGGCGTTACCTGCGCGTGGAAGAGGCGCGGCTGCGGGACCTGACCAGGTGAGAACGCGAGGGTGGGGCGACTGAGAGGTCTGAGTGGAAAAGATGGAGACTATGGGATGGAGTGGGGGATGATTCTGAGGCTGAGTGTGACTCCAGATTCATAGTCATTCTGTGTGGGATCGCAGACCCAGTGTTACACGGTGACACTGAAACACCGGTGTGCGAGGGGGAGTGAGTCTGAGGTCTGATGTGATTCAGGACCCTGTGAAAGACCCTGGATCCTGTGTGATGGTGGTGGTAGGGAAACAGAGTATGTGACCCCAGAGACAATGTGTCACACTGTGTGGGATCCCACATTCCCATCACACACCCAGTGAATGAAACCCCAGATCCAGCATCACACAGTGAAGTTGATATATTGTGGGAAAGTGTGATGGAGTAACTCTGAGGCAGGTGCTCTGGCAAGCAACGTGGGATCCCACCTCTGTGTCACGGTGACAGAACTATCGCTGACAGGCACTGTGACCATAAGATGGAGAGACTATGCTGACACTATGGCCCCATGTGTGTTGACCTTGTGAAATGGGCACTGTGAACAGGAACTGTGAAACACCATGAGATCCAGTGAAAGGATGTTTTATAGCAGGAGTCAGGAGATGTTTTGTGACTCTGTATGGAATGTGCATGTCATTGGGACTGGATGAGCATGGCATTATGCTATGCATGAGGAAGATGCTGAGTAACTGTACAGGTCACTCTATTTAATATGAATTAATTAATACAGTCAACACATATATAAGCCAAGCTCTGCTCTAGGCACTGGAGATAAAATGATGAACAAGAACCAACCCTGCCCAAGCTTGGAGTCTTTGAACCATGATTGCCGATCAGTGATGTTCATCGCCTCCTTTGCTTTTAGCTCTACCTTCTCTCTACACATGATAAAAACCAAAAATCACACCAGTTGCTGCTAAGTTGATTCTAACTCACATTCCTTAAGCCATGGCCCCTCCTTCATCTTCAAAGTCAGCAGTGTAACTTCTTCAAATTATCTGTGTGTCTAAGTAGACCTGTGCTTCATGTGGTTTTCTGTGGCTGATTTTTCAAAGTAGATTGCCAGGCCATTCTTCTGTGGTACCTTTGGGTAAACGTGAACTAACAACTTTTTGGTTTGCAACTGAGCACTTAACTGTTTGTGCCATCCAGGGGCTTCTACACATGATGAGTTCCCTAAATACTGAAGAAGTAATAACTGAGCTGTTATATGTGTGTAAAAGTCTTTGACACCAGGAAAACATTGTGAATCACCAGACTTGCTGCTGCAAAATACTGTGTATATAGCACACAGAAGCAGATGCTCAGCCAATATTGTATTGCTATATAATCAACAAAATTTAGTGATGCTCACTGTAGGATCAAATCTTGTAAAACTTGGACACTGGGGCAGTATAAGCATCTGTGTCAAACTATGAAAGATGAATGATTGCATATGATTCCATATGTATGAGTGTATGTTGTGCTTTCTCTTCTTGGGGCATCAGAAATCCCACAACACTGTGAGAAACAGTGTGTGATGCAATGAATCTCTTTTATATGGCTTTTCTCCCCATAGTCTAGTGATTCCTACAAAATGATTGGGTATGACTGTGTAAATAAAGGTGGGGTCATGCAAATATGATGTATGGAACCCTAAAAGGGGATTGGTTAGTTTTAACATTCTACTAGGCTTAAAAGACAGCCAATCCCAGAGCAGAGAGGAAAGCTCACTACCACCAAGACAGAAGAGCAGGAGTAAAATGTATCCTTTGGACATAGGGGCTCTGCACTCAGAATTCCCCAGACCCAAGAGACACAGAGAGAGAGTTGTTATGCTGAAGACTGCACAAGATGATGAGAAGCTGCAACAGTACCAGGAGACTGGTGCAAGATGGTGCAGTGGCTACAGTGCCAATCCACAGAAAGAACTGTGGGGGACCTCTCAGCATGTATTGGTGAAGCTAAAACTTGGTAACACCTTTCTGAGTAGGGCAGATGCCAGGTTGGGATACCAAGAGAGAAGAAACTGTAACCCATTACTTCCCTAATAAACCCTGTAATCATTAAGTATTGTCTATGACTTCTGTGTGATCACGGCAATGAATTATAGAGTCCAGCAGGGAAGTAGAGAGTGGTGTGGGAGGAATAATTGGTGTCAGAATTGATTTAAAAAAAAAAGGTTGGAGGGAGAAGGAATATTTGACCTCCACTTCATAGAAATCAGTCTTGGGCTGTTGATACTAACAATGATTCTCTCCCCTCATGAAGTCAGAGGTCTGATGGCACCATTTTTACACAGTGGTTGTGACCACATCACTCTTTGAAATACAGTTGACCTTTGAACAACATGGGGCATGACCTCCCACACAGTCAAAAATCTGCATATCATTTATAATTGATGCTTGGACAACATGGATTTAAATTGCACAGGCCTACTTGTACACACATTTCTTTTTCTTGTTGTTAAATCTGTAAGCTTAAACTGTTGTGTCATGCTAACACTGCTGTATGAGTAGTTAGTTTCCCCAGGAACTGCTAGCCCCTTGCCTTTCCATCCCCCCTAATTGGAGTATGAATGAGGAAAGTATGAAAGAGGGAGTTCTAAACATTTAATTTTGTTCGTTTCACTTGATATTTATTTAAGGACTCTATCATTCTGTTTTCTAGTCAGTGCTCTAAAGCCTAGTGAAATGTTCGTCTTTTAAAACAAGAATTTTGGCCGCTCCTGCTCATTTTCTATAATCCCAATCTGGTGATTTTATGTAATTTGAAATGTTATTTCTTAGGGCCTCAATTCATATTCTTCAAATTAGTAAGCCAAGAAAAGAGATCTATTTCTTTGTGTTGAAACTACTTCCTACACAAGCTAATGAATGGAAATTATACTAATTGTAGAAAGTAAAGTTAATCCCTAAATTTCTTTGTTTGCTTTGTTTTCATTTAAAAACATCACCAAGAGTAAAGAACGGTATCAACAGCAAGTATTTTTGTACCAGGAATTAAACATTTAGAATATCTCAAAAGAACTGAGACAAAGCCATTTCTGAATTCTGAAGGAGAAACATATTGCATTGAAGTAGCCATAGATTGTGGTTGGATAGCCTTCGCCGTCTATGTTTAATGCAGGGGTTGGGTTACAAATTTTATGTGCAGATTCTTGAAGGAAAGGATCTGATTTTCCATTCTCAGCAGCACTTGTTAAAGCAAAAAGTCATTTAGGAAACCCTGAGGTTTGAATTCACCATGGTCTCTGGAAACCAACTGTTTGCTCAGAGACTGGGCATAAGGCCAACATTTGGATTCCAAACCAGTCTCAGATATTAGCTGATAGTTCCATTTTTCCCCTTGTGTCACAAAAAAAAACGACATACTTGAACACTGGATTGAATAGCTTTAGGAGAGAACAAGCTGCTGGCCGAAACAGAACCCATAGTGCAGAGAGGATGGGAAGAGAAGAAAGACAGTGCTTTTTGACCATCAGATGGACTTGAGACAATTCAACAGCTCTCCACCCTGACTCTCTGCCTTTGTGCTTCACTTTCCTCTGATGCCAATTGAACAGAAAAGGTGATGGGAATAAATAATAGAAAGTTCATGCTGAAGGGCTTCTCAGAGTTCTAGACGAGGCCAGTTCTTTCACAGAGGGGAAGATTGAAGGGTAGTTGGAGGCAGGCCAAGATCAACCTCAGGTCTCCTCCCAGCTCCTCCTTACCCGACTGTCTTACAAATCACTGCCTAGTCAGCCTCAGTTGTTCCCAGACTCTTACTCTTCAGGCTGGACTCAAGCCCACGTCTCTGCTCATAAGTTTTTCATCTAGCAGTGGAATATCTTTCACTAAGTAGTTCCATATGGAGCTGAAATAGGGAAGAACGGGCAGTGAAAAAGAAAAAAAATCCCCCTCATTGGAGGCAGGTTTTGTTTCAAAACCCTGAAGAAGCCATCTTAAACTGCTCTTTGGGATCAGAGACAACCTGGGACTTGCCTGGCTTCCCATTCCCTTTCTGCAACACCTATTCCTTAGTTTATGCTGGAATTGAACTGTTAGGCTCCTTGGAAGCACTCTGAAGCAAGTCATCTTCTATTTTAAGTCCCATTTCACAGTTGAGGGCTCCACCCTTGAGAAATTCTGAGATCAGACTCTGCTTCAAAGGGTTAAACTCCTCCTACCCTGCACTAAGGGCTCCATGCTTACCTGTTGTTAAGTGTTGTCAAGTCAGTTCTGATCCATAGAGACCCTGTATAGGGTTTTTAAAGAGCAGCTGGTGGGCTTGAACTGTTGACCTGAGGTGAGTAGCACTCCAGCACTTACCCTACAGCACTACACCATTCTTACCTAAGGACTTCTATAGTCTCATATGATCTTAACCACTTAAACGGTAGCAGGTGCATGCATATCATTTTCACAGTCTTCTTAACTTCAGTGGTTGGTATCATATTGTTTGTTTTTTGAAATTAATAATTTTAAACCAAGAAGTTAAGACTAGAATTCTTCCGTCTGCTATATTGTAGATAACCAATACATGAAAGAAAGATGAAGATTTCTGCTCTTGTAAAGATTTACAGCCTCAGAAACCCTATACAGGGTCACTATGAGTCAGAACCGACTAGATGGCATACAACCATCTCTTCCAATATATTTGGGAGTCTTGGTGTGGTATTATAGAATAAGCACTGGACTGCTAACTGCAAGGTCAGCAGTTCAAACCCACCAGCCACTCTTCAGAAACCCTATACAGGGTTGCTATGAGTCTGAACTAACTCCATGGCCATAAATAACAACAACAAAATACATTTCAGTAATATACATTCTGTTTCTGTATTAGAAAGGAAACAACTATACCAGGGAAAGAGAAAGCATCTTTTGTCTTTATGATCTCTGGGGAGGCGAGGAATTAACCACAAAGATAATCACTTCAGGCCCCACCATTTTTGCTCCCCCACCCTTTTTTTTTGAAGTTTTTATTGTGAATTATGTGTTAGTTTACATGGGTGAACAATATCTTTATATTCATCCTATTGTATTTTGTTTCATTGCAATGATCACAATCCCCTGCACGCATCATCAAACAACCAAAGGGTACACCCCACACACCTGCCCCTGGTCACCACCACACAGACTCCCTCTCTCCCTGAGTCCAGAGTCCCCAGCTGCTCCCTCTGTCTACGTCATTGCCTCTGCCTCCATCCCTAGTGTCACTGCCTCTCAGGACAGCGTCTCACACTTCACTTTTCTCCCTTGATGGTTCCAGGGATCTCTGCTCCTGGACTGCAATATCAGTCACTCCCCTCCTTTTGTCACCAAACATTTACATTTACCTTTCTAACACTCCCTGTCAGAC